CTCAAAGGCTTTAACTAGTTTAGCTGCATAGCAGATTATTAATTAGAGTAAACATAATTTCTGTTTCAGGGATGAGGAATTGAAGCAAAGAAAACTCCACAATCTGGGGATCAGGCCTTGACTTATTCCAGGATCCTTTCCAAGGGATACTCAAGAAGTTTGACACCAGAACCCCTGTCTGATACACTCCAGCTCCAGCACCTCCAGTAACTGCAAACATTGTCCTCAACTGGTTGAGATAAGGACAATATGAAGATATGTCAAAGCATCAGTCTGTCTTTTGAGAAGTTCACTGTGGGACTAGGGGGCATCTGGTCAGGTTACTCTTATGTTTTTAATGTCAAATACCATTCTTAAGGAGACTTATCAGAAAATCCACTGTGAATGGCAGTGAGAAGTTTGAGTGTATTCTTTCACAAATGAAACCTGTCCCATCTTTTGTGTCACTGAAAGGCGTCAGTCAGACCCACTGTTTCAGTTGGGCTTTGGAATAAGACTTTTAGGCATGACTACTCCTAGCACACTGAAGTTAACCACACAATCCTGTAACTGTTATTTTTAGCTAAAGACAAATATGTAATGGAAATAAATAGATATGAAACAAGGGCTGCTTTAATCCCTCCTAGGAACAGGGATAACTGAGATAATAACATAATAGATAGCGCCATTTATGCACTCAGCGTAGGTACTTGAGGAAGGAGAAAGCGTGAAGTGTTGAGCTTTCTCCTCCAGGTAGATAAAGTGGCAAATAAAACTCTTTAACCTGCAACAATAGTACTCCAGACAGTCACAAAACCCACAGAATTGAAGGAAAGCCTGCCAGACAGCCACTAATTTGCAACAATACTGTCTGCTTTTGAAAAAATAGCAGGGAGGAGACTGAAAACCTGATTTGATCTGGAAAGTCTCGTGAGTAATGTGTGTCCAGATTTACCAAACTTTTAGTCATGAGGTGTTTGCCTCATTTCCTGCCATTGTCTTGGATACCCAAATTTTGCCTTGAACGAATGCTGTCCTTACCCTTCGAGAAGAGTTAGAGTGTGTGCAAACTAATTACTCCCAGATCTTCATCTCCATCTGGCCAAATATTGACTGACTTGCTCTGACATATGCTGTTGTTACATCCAGTTAGTAGACTTTTCTTCTTACTGGAAGCATTTACTGCTTTTAGGAGACATGTTAATGTTTTTTAATACATTGCTGGGTGAGGGAGGAAAGTCTCCTCCATCACATGGTCAGAGTTACACAGCCACACCTGCACAAATGGTGAATCCATTCTTGCTTTGAAATTACATTAGGCTTGAAATTATAATTTCCATTACTATGGAAAAACCCCCAAATTCTGATGATAAGCATTTTAGAGCCATTTTCACTTACACATGCATTTAGCACTGGCTTGCCCATCATTAACAGAATGAATAGTTAACACGGATGATTTTCTTAACGTATGCAACAGCATTTCCATGCCAATCTGCTACCTCAACTTTTCCTAAAAATTGCCTTTCTTCAAGACTTATTACTGATACGGGTGTCAGCAAATCTTTGTTAGTCCTAGGGAACAGCCCATGGCTGCATTGCACAGACCCAAGAGCAGACGACTGAGCCCAGTGACCAGCCCATGAACCTTCAGACATTTCCAGCATGGGAGGTGGTGTCATTTCCTCCCTTGTATCTCTTGGTGCCCTGTGTCCTCTTGACTTGTGGTTAAACTGATATATAATTATACTGGAGGTGTGGCTACTGAATGTGATAACATAATTAACAGGTCTTAGTGCTTCTTTCTCACTAATTAATCTCCCTTGCCCTGACTATGTCAGTTTATCTCCGCGTTGCAGTTGTGACACCAAAGCATGGAGGTTAAATGTCTTGCTTGCAGCCTGTAGTGGAGACAGTAGCTGTCTCCTGTTTTTCACAGTTTAACTGTGGCCCTTACACTCAGAGGAATATTTTTTTTTCTAGACAGCCTGTCCTAGAAAAGTCAGGAGCAGCCCAGGGGTGGGGAACATCCTTGTCCTATCCCGACTCTGACGGCCATATTGCTGCTTGGTCATACAGAAGCATCTTGCCACAGTTTTGTTTCTTGGGCATTTTTTGGATATTCTGACAATATAAATTTCTAATGGCATGTCAAGGTTTCCAACCCTTGCTTTCCATTTCATAGAAAGTCTTAGCTTTGGCTGCTTAACCTGCTGCTATTGTAGATGTGATATATTAAGGGCATGAGTGAGGTAAAATGTATGGAAGAGTTGTTCTCTCTGTCTTACTGATAGATGGAGAACATTAGGAAAGGTTTAGGCCTATGACTTTCAGCAAGACTTTGTGATACTGAAAGTGAAAGACATTTTGCTTAGCCTGGACGCTGTTTCTCAGACAGCTAAATTAGATAATGTGGCTACTGCTGTTGGCGTATTTGAAATATAAAAATTGTTCTTTCTTCACAAGCCAAAAGACTGTTAAAAGTTACTTCAAAATATTTTTTTTCGAAACTCTGTGTTTAAAGTTCTTGTCATATAAGTTAACTGCTTAAGAGCTCTTATATCATTCTGGACAGATAAGTGTTAGACTTATACCATACTAATTGCTCTTATCATCTCTCAGCATATGTGCTTGTGAGTATAGCTGGAACCAAAACTGAAGTAGTATTAAATTCTTGGTGTTACTAGTTCCTCCCCTGAACTACACCTAAAAAGCAGCACAATTCTGTAGATGCAACTTCAGCACATATCAACAAGCATATGCTAGTACCATGAAGGAAACAACTCACAGGACATCAGCATAAAAATTAAATTTGTGAAAATACAGTCAGAGAAAGGAGAAAAATATGTCATTCTGGATCTCAGTGAATGTCATACTACTTTTTCTTTACCCACCTATAGAAAACTCATTTTCAGAAGCATCTCAGCCTTTCCAGGGTACATGAACAACTGCGTGGAATGACCTAAGGTCTCGAAATCTGTACTGAGAAACAGTACATCCAGGTAACACTTCATCTCACCTGTTATTTCTTCTATTCAACATCAACAGGGAAGCAGAATCTTTTGAAATCCCCTGTGAAAGTAGAGGGTTAATGGCTGGATTCCCTGCAGTAGTCCAGCAGGATACACGATGTCCCAGGGCGGCACTTTGTGATGCAGAAGATGTTTTCCATGCTCAAACACCGTAGCTGGATATCCAGAGCACAAAAGCTGACTCTTTGGGCAGGGAGCACTCTCAGAAATCTCTGATAATAAAATCCTTCCTCCTTAAATATTCATTAGGCCATAGAGAAAGAGTGAAGAAAAATAAAGTGTGTATGTGTAAGGAGTTTTAACCCTCATCTCCTTGATTGTAAGAAGAAATTAAAGCTTGGAAAATATCCCAGAAAATACCAGTTTTGCCAAAATTATGTGTACTTCTGCAAGAGAACTGGGGTTTTATAGAATAGGATTTTCTGAGGAACACAGGTTTTGCAGGAAATTTTCATCTGGTTTTGGTTTGAATTACACTTTCTGTGAATATCACTGTGGTTGTAGGAAACTTAAATAGTTGCATACAGTCATGATGTTGAAACTGAGCTTCAGGCAGGTAGAAATCCAAGGCTACTAGAGTTAGCCATTGATATAATGAAATAAATATTGCCTTCATTTGGTAATATAAATTGTTTTTATAAAATTGCATTTTGGCCAACAGAGACAGGATGAAACAATGGAGGGGAAGAAACTGCTACCAAACTGTTTCAATATGTAGTGATTATTTATTTACCCAGTATTAGCTAAGAAATTTTGTGCACGTAAGTGTTAAAAACAGATCAGGTCAGGCCCAGATCTTCAACTTCTGGTAAAATAACCCCCCACGCAGGTATCAAAATGAAGAATCAATGCAGCTGAATGTCTGGGTATGGTTCCCCCTCTTGTGTTTCTAACTAGAATTGCAGCCCTATGGAAAACGGATTTTTCCCGGCCTAAACTAGCAAAGGAAGGTAGTAAGTGGGTTATAACTTGTAAATAAAAAACTTTGTAAATAAAAAAGCTATAAGGTGGTTCTGAAATACTGTTTTATCAATGTAATAATCTTGTCAGTCAGAGGCATGACTGTGATAATGCCCCTCACTTCTTGGGTCAAAAGGTTTCTCCAAATAATCAGTGCCACTGACAGATAGCAAATCAAAGTCCTCAGTTCTGGGTCAATAGAGATTCAAGGTCCTTTGGAATTGTGCCTTGAATTGGGGCTGGAAAGATATGAAATGAAAAAGTTTACTCAAGGAAATGCGTCATTAGAGCTGGTGGTCTGCCTGCAAACAGAGGTGGGAGAAGGCAACCTAAGGCCTTGACCCTAAGGCCTTGACTGTTGGTGCCAAATGAAAAGAAATATAATTTATCACTTGCATACACAGGTGTACCAGAAGCTTTGTGTTTAAATCACAGAGTAAAAATTGTCAGATTCACTGTATGCCTCTTATTTTGGCCGTACAAAAAGGTATCCCTTCTTTGCTTTGTCTTTCTTTTCCAGCTTCCTCCCCACCCACATAAAGTATCAAAGAGTCTTGAAATATCCATAAGGAATTTTCCAAATGAAAATTTAATTATAAATAACTTCAATGACAAGGTCTGTTTGTGAACTGGTGGAAAATTGTGTTTTTATTTAGCAGGAACACATTCCATTTCTAATCAAAGAAAAGGTAACAGAAGAAAGTTAAGTGAAATTTAACAAAATTTGCAAAAAAACACTAAAGTGTTTTTAAAATGTATTTCCTAGTAAAATGAAACACATCAGTGGTTGATCCACTGAAAGGAAAATAACAGAGTAGTACATTAGCAGCTTAAGCATGATTTCTACAAAGTCTAAACAGAGGTTGTTTGAGCTACTAGACTTATTTAGGAGATTAATAATGGTGAGATTTCAGAAAAAAAGTTACCTATAGATCAGACTGAGCTGATGCACTGAGGGTGGATACACTTCACACTGAGTTCTACTCTTCCCTAACAAGTCTCAAGGCAGCTATGAAGACATCCAGCAGGACATTATATGATCTGAGTGGTGCATTTACAGCTGGCAGGACACTTCCCCTTCACCATTGAATGGCTACAGCCAAACAAGGTTTTCAGATTGTTGCAGTTTGCAAAGGAATTTTGAAACTTGCAAGCATTGGCTAAAATGTAAGAGAGAGAAACAAAAACATGTAATATTAGATGAAAACCAAGTCCTGGTCTGATAGTTCTCTATTTTCAAAAATTTCCAAATGTTCATGTCCATATAGTCTTACTACTTTTGCTCTGCTGCTAAAATTGTTTGAATATTATTGAAATGGGAATGCAGGCAGAGAGTTGATATCCTGCAGTTCCCTACTGTTTGTACCCTTTGACTTGCTCGACATGATAGTCTGCAGAACCCAGGGGCCTGTGCACATCTTCATGTAAATGCAGATATGTGAAGCCTGACCAGCTTTTCTTGCCCTTAGAAGTACATCAAGACATTTTGTCTTGAGCTTTCCAGAAGAGGGCAGCAGAAGTTCGACACTGTGATGATGCACAACACAAGGTACCCGTTATCTCAGGACGGTTGAGGTTAGAGGGGATCTCTGGAGGTCATCTGGTCCACCACCCCTGCTCAAGATTGTTCCTGTTCTGGTGGCATATTTAACCACTCTTATTTCTGGGAGGAAAAGAAAGCTACAGTTCTAGGATCTCTCCTCCAGATTAGCAAGAGGTATGGATGAAAAAGTAAAATGCTACAAAGGAATAACATTATTATCTGGGGTAAACGGACACAAACTGGAACACAGGAGGTTCCACTTAAATTTGAGAAGAAACTTCTTCTCAGTGAGGGTGACAGAGCACTGGACCAGGCTGCCCAGAGAGGTTGTGGAGTCTCCTTCTCTGGAGACATTCAAAACCCGCCTGGACGCCTTCCTGTGTAACCTCATCTGGGTGTTCCTGCTCCGGCAGGGGGATTGGACTGGATGAGCTTTTGAGGTCCCTTCCAATCCCTAACGTTCTGTGATTCTGTGAAGCAATATTTTTTGTAAAAAGCAGGATACATCCACTTACTGCAAAGCCCTCTGTCACAGTGGCCGGGACAATCTGCACATTTTGGTCCACTTCTGTAAGGTGTAGCTATTTGCATTGCATTATTTCCTCTGAAAGTTGAAAGAAATACAACACAAGATGAAATCAATACTCAGCTCTGAGCTATTAACAGGAATTTATGTCATTTGTCACAATGAAAGGCATCCAGAAGTTTTTGGATAAAATTGTTTTCATAGACAGTCGTATTTTACTTTTGGATCTTCATAGAATATAAGAACCTTGATTTTAAATAGGAGAGACAATAATGTTTAGGAAAATAAGATTAATTAATTATTTGCACTTGTATAGCACTATCAGTTAAAGAATATTATGTGCTTCCTAGTTCTGCTTTTCTATTGGCTTTCTAGTGATTGTGGTTTATAAAGAAATAACCTCAGCTGCTGCCTTCTGACATGCAGCTGTTTCAGATGTGCTCTATATCTACGTGAATATTCATCTACTGTTGGCTTTCCCTTTGCATCTGAATTTCTTGTTTGTGGACAAAGTTATAGGATGACTTGTACATGATGTCTGATTCTGACAGAGACAGATCTTTTACTACTCATGGTAAAATTTCCCTAGTATCTGTTTCAATGTGAAATTAAATAAATGTTACTGTTTAACCTGATACTAAACCCACAATCCACATTAGTATTTTCAAAATTATAAATGGTTAAAATAAACTGTAACAATTTTATCCTACATATGACCAATAGATCACGGGCGTTTTTGAAAAGCTGTGCAGAATTATCACATCTTAAATGAGTAAAGATGCAGTACGTACGAAGGGCAGTATTGGCAAACATAGAAGTAGCTGAACTGGCTTTTAGGACAGTAGGCAACTGCACACCCAACCTGGTAGCTGTTGTACCAGATTAGCTGTAGAACAAAAAATAAACATATTATTTTAGAGTCATGTTTTATTAAATTCTCATCAGAGAGTTCACAAAATAACAGAACCAGAAGACAATTTTTTGTTTGTCTACTTAGCTTTTAAGTTTACAGTTTACCTCTCAAAAAAAAAAAAAAAAATTAGAAAATGAGTTAACTATGTCCTCCAGTTTCCAACTGTTTTTGAACAGAGTTTCTGGAGGGAAGTTGAGTTTAAATTCAAACATTTTCATCATAGATATTTTGCTTTGACATTTCTTAATCAGGTATTTCAATGCCTATATTAAAAATATTTATTTCTAAATTAAAGCTATTGAATTTATTTTTTTTTCATAGAATAATATTTATCTTCCGGACAGCTCTTCCAAAATACTGGTTCAATTGCCTCAGAATTAGCTGAAAAAGAGTTTTAATTTATCATTCATCTTTGGATCAGTGTGTGAATGATAGACAATGGTTTGATGACAGTGATTTTTATTTTTTTTCTGTGATAAATATCTCCTAGCTCTCTTAAATGTACCCTTGTAATTCTAGCATATGGCTGCAGTTTGTTTCAGTTCTCCATACCTGACTATAGTTCTCGATATTGGCATTTTTTGCGGTTGCTCCAAATCCATACTTGAAATTGGAGGACTGACTGTACCAGACTTGAATTGCTTCAGCCCACGTTTTTGGGTAAGATGATAGTAATATATTCTCACCGCAGGTGACACCTGAAGTAGAAGTAAGTCTATTTTATTACTTAGACAAGCAAGCTGAAGGGTGGGAGGTAGGACAGATGGGTTGTAGCTACATTCTAAAAAAACCTCTACAATGACAACCAATTTGTCCTGTGATTTTAAGAAGAGGACAGAACACCTCATCCTATGAAGACTGCAGGAAATGTTACTCTGATTTTGGTGAGCTTTCAGTCACAGATACTTACTTGACTACAAAACGTTACACAAAATTTCTGTACTTGGTCATACCAACAGTCATCTGTTGCAATGTCTTGTCTCCAGCAGAAGCCAAAAGTGAACACTTAAAGAAAGGTACAAAAATAGGACAAGCATCCCTCTCCCTCTAGTTCCAAGAAGTTGTCTTTCAGGGTATCTCACTGACAAAGATGGTTTTTTTGTGTTTAGCAATCCTCAAAAGATATTCCACAATAGATTAAAAGTTATCCTTATTTCTAGTGCACATGCACAGAGGTCATCTGCAAATTGTCATTAACCCATCAGCTTAGGCTCCATATTTGTCATGTACCATTAAGGACTCTCTGATCTCTTGGACTGATTTTCATCATACACTTATTCGCCCATTTTTGAGCATTTTTGGCAGCTTTCTCACTCCACACCTGAAAGACAAAAAGGAAGAGGTATCCGGGTCACAGATAGGTTAGTACAGTCCATGAAGGAGAAGACATAAAATGAGGAATGAAGTGGGCATTTTATACTGAATGCTTCCATGATCTTCAGCAGAAAGCAGAGTCATGCCAGTTTACACTACTGAGGCATGGGAACCACATTTCTTCACCTTTTAAAGGTTGCAGAGCCATATATTCTGTGCAGTATCACACAGTCCTGATCTCCAGATGGTCCTGATGAATACGACTTTTTTAACATACTGTTGCCTTCTTTTACCTATTTAACTTTGCAGGGTGCAGTGTACTAAAGTATATAAAACTGATTTTTCAGTTCAGGCACAGCTGAAATGAAGTGATAGACACCAGCTGGAATATGAACGCGGGGAATGTTTGCAAGTCTTATCGCACGGGCTTAACCAGCTCATCTGCCCATGGGATGGGGATAACAGAGAATATGAGAGATGACAGGGATGGGAGAAGTGATGGCCAAAGCAAACTCAGCTGAGGACACTGCATTTTGTACCTTATCCTTGGTGTAAAAGTTTTCCCTGAAAAAGCTTACAGTTACTGTCTATTGCAATGTGCAAACATAAGGCAAGAACTTGTGATTCACAGTGCAGGCTATGTTAACATAGGTTTGACAGCAATAAATAGATGAGGTGGAGGCAAACCTGTGTTCACAGTTCCTGTAGGCAAATAACCCTAGGCATGGAATAGTTCCTGCATTGCTTAATTGAATTCATCTAAGTGGAAAAACTAAGATGTGTTGCTTAGGAGTGAGGCTTTGAACAGCACTCATGACAAGTCCTGAGACCTTTGGAATGATTTTATAAGTGCTTGCAGCATCAAGTTGTGCAAAATTAAGCATGAAGGCTGCAGAAATAAAAGGATAAAATTCTGATTCCTTCATCTCAATGCTACAGCATTTTTCCTGCCCTCTGTTCACTGAGTGTGGGTTGTTTAGAAGGCTACTGTCATCTGCTAACGATGGGGAAAGCAGGCTAGTTGCAACGCATAACTTACCATCTTCAGCATGTTCCTGGCTGTGGGAACTACAGATCTCCGTATTTCATTGTGTTGCTCAAGGATCTGTTTTTGGTTGTTAAACTTATGATAAAAGGTGGAAAGGTCCACTCGTTTAATCTGAAAACTCTGGAAAAAAATAGCAATTAAGGTTGCAGTAATCACAAGTTTAATAAGCAAGATAAATTATGAGTTTCTTGTCAAATTAAAACTTTTTTGAAATTCCTAACTACCCCTTGGTTCTTCTATTCTTATAATTGCTGTTTTTTTCCTCTTCATTCCCTGGTTTGAACTGGACTTGTCATTAGGACACATGACCTTAAATGAAATTAGTAGAGAAGTTTTCTACCTTCAGATATCTCCACATCAAGCATGAAGAAATCTTACTTTGGAACCAAATCTCAAGATTAGCTTTGACCTCTTGTGTACACTAATAAAGTCCCTAGCTCTTGTCACTTGTGAGCTTTGGAAATAAGTGAAGCTGGATCAGAACTTAGGACTGTTTGCAAACCATCTTCTGAAATACTGAAGTTCAAGAAAATCATGAATGATTTAGACATTCCCTTGCATAGTAATGTCAGGTCATGAATCCTTGCAGAGAAAAAGAGTTACAATGCTTATGTTGTAGTTTTCAGACTAAAACATCCCTCAGGAAAAGATTCTTCCCACTTAATGATTAGAAATGAGACATCACAATCTAAGCTAGACACCTTCACTCTTATTGTCACTACTGAAGAGTGCAGAGGTCACTCATCCCCCAAAGTCTGGACTCCTTTATGGGACTGGAAGAACCATTCTCTACAAGTAACTCTTTCTCCTTCCTTT